AGGAGCAGCCGAGGCTGAGCACTCCACTGGTGTCTTTGCCCTCACCTGGCTGCTCCATTGAACAGGTAGGGGCTCCCGTTGGGCCTGTCTGTGGGAGACCCTGCTGAGGATTCCATGGGGAGTGCTGTGGGGGGCTTGGGGCCCCTCCAGCTGTGACCAGCCAGATCATGCGGGACCACTGCTTGTCACAAGGGTTAGTGTTTGCCACCATAGCTCGTGCTGGAAGCAGAGGCTCAGGGATGACCTTTCCAGGCTGCCCCTGGCACTGTGGCTGCAGCCCTGGCCTGGGGCTGCAGAGCTCACGGTGGGTTTGATCACTCTGAGAACACCATGCATTACCTGCAGGTACCTGCACAGCCCCTGTACCCACCAGACCTGTGTCCTCCTGCGGACAGTGAGGAGTGAAGAGACAGCAGTGAAGTCTGCAGAGCAAAGCAACTGCTGCTTGTTCTGTCTCATGCCCTGTCTCCCCATTGTGTCTCTGCTCAGCACGTTGGTCCCTGGGCCATGGCTCGCTCCAGCTGTGGGCCTCTGAGCCACGGCTGGAGGAGCACAGCCTTAGTGCTGCTCTGGTGGAGCTGCTCAGGAGGTCTCATCTCTGCCCCATCCCTGTTCCAGTCTTGCAGGCCAATGGCATTCCAAACCTTCTTGACATCCCACAAACTTTGATGGTCCGTGCGGGTGCTACCCACCTTGCCCTGGGAAAGCTGCTGGTGTAGCCCCAGCTCGCCCTCCCGGGGGTGCAGCTGCAGCTGTGGTTATCAGCGCTTGGAAAAGCTGGATGTAGGAGTCCCGGCAGAGAGCCAAGCCAGCACTCTCCCTGTTTCCAGAACCTGGAGTGGTTTGTTTACAGCACGCTGCGATACCCACCCAGCACTGTGCTCTGCATCCAGACATACCCACAGAGAGCCAGGAGGATGCTCTGAGTGCTGCTCCCAGCCCTGGAGGGGTTCGACTGGGATGGAGCACAAGGAGGGGTGATGGGGGATTTTCGGGGTTTGTTACCCAAAAAACATAAAGGGATGGTCCTTGTGTAACAGGCAAGGGAGGGCAACAGCCCTTGGGACTGGAGAGCAAAGTGAACATAGTCCAGCCAACTCAGACTGACCCAGGTGATCGTGGTTGGTGGTTCAGAGGAACGTTTCTAGGTATCCAGGTGTTGGCTGGTGCCGTTCCAAAGAGGCTCTCTAATAGGCATGGGCTTGGGAAAACTGGACTTGTTAGGGATTGGAGTTGTCCCTGTGCATGGAGGGACTGTGTGAAGGGTACAGCATCTCTGATGGCTCAGGATGTGTTCCTCACCCAAGAGAATGGCCTGAAGTCGTGTCAGGGAGATCTAGGCTGGATCTCAGGAAAAGGTTCTTTTCCCAGAGGGTGGTTGGGCACTGAACAGGCTGCCCAGGGCAGTGGTCACCACCCCAAGGCTGACAGAGCTCAAGGAGTGTTTGGACAATGCTCTCAGGGACACTAGGTGGGTTTGTTGGGATGTCCTGGGCGTGGCTGAGTTGGACTCAATGATCCATATGGGTCCCTTCCAGCTCAGGATATTCTGTGATTCTGTGATCACAGCCTGTCCCCTCTCCCAGGGAGCCATGCCCTGCTTTTTGAGGTGCTTTGAGGTACCTCCGTTCACTCTCCTGTGTGGAGACTGATGTGCAGGGCATGTGAGGGAAAGCTCCTGGGAGAAGAGGGGTGTGTTTTCTCCTGGATCAGGTGAAGTTTGCATAGTGAGTTGGGTAGGTCATGATAAGTATCACCTCGTGTTGGTACCTGCCTCGGCTGAGCGGGGAGCACTGGTGGGGCTAGAGATGCCTGGGATGCTGAGGCCAGAATGGTGTCTGTGCTTCGGAAAAGCTTGGGAGGTCTAGAAGGTGTCAGGGAAGGAGCTGTCGGGACAATGCTCTGGAAGGCCCAGCTCTCAGGATGAGGTCAGAGAGTGTGCAGTGGGTGCAGAGGTGTCTGACTGCAGTCACAGGCAGCCCCCAGGGAGAGGGAACTCCAACTCCAGCGCCTTCAGTGTTCATCTGCCAGCACTTGTGGGGTTGCAGAGCTGGAGCTGAGGTCAGGCGTGTTGGGAACAGGTTTTTGCTGGCAAGATGGGTCCTCACTGTGCTGGGTAGCAGTGTCTCTCCATGTCACTGTGCTGGATTCTGCCTTCCAACAGACGCTGTCCTTCCATCACAGGGAGGTTTGGTTTGGGACTTTGCTCTGCCACTGTTGGGACAGGGACTGGAAAGCAGCAGGTGCTGAGAGATTGAAACACCTGGATCTCCCTGAGTGCACACTGACAGCAAAGCCTGGTGACAGGAACTGCTGCCGCGCGGTGTGATGACGGAGCGAAGGTGGCAGTTCCTGATCGTGCCCTGTTTCACCGAGAGACACACAATTATCTCCTTTCACTGCTGCAAAGTGTTCAAAGCTCTGGTGAGGTAATCCTTGCTGAGATCATGTCCTGCAGTGGGTTCTCGCACTGACTTAGTGCTGACTGGGACACTGGCCATGCCTGTGCTGGTCCTTAACCTGGAGAAATCCCTCTCCTGCCAGCATTGCCAGGGCTGAGGCTTTAACAGCCTGGCCCAGGAAGGGTGGCTGTGCCCAGGAAGGGTGGCTGTGCCCAGGCACGCTGCCTCTGCCGCCCTTTCATCTACGTGTGCGGGCAGGTGGATCCGTTGGACGTGGTTTGTGTGGCCTCTGCTGTGTTTGCTCAGCCTCTGACCTGGTTTCAAGGCTGGGTTTAGTGTCCAGGATTGCAGTGTCCAAGGGAGTTCCACCGTGGCTTGGATAATGAGTTGGTTAATTATTAGTTGCTGTGTGGGGAGACCAGATGTGTCTGGCACTGGCGCTTCTGGAGCACAGGGTAGATGAACCTGCTGCACGTCATCCCATGGAGGGAGCAGCTGAGGTGAGGAGTCGGGTTTGCCCAGCCAGCCCCTTCCTTCTCCCAGTTTTCCTGCAGCACATGTGTGTGAGCAGCCATGGGTCCATGGCTGAACCCCCTCCAAGCTTTCTGCAGGGCACGAGGGCCGCAGTGTCTGGGCTGTGCCGTGAAGGTGCTGGTTGTGCCTCCTTGATGTGTGATGCTGCTGTCCCATATCTGGGGCCCGGTCTGAGGGTCCTGCTGGTGTCCAGGATAACTGACTGAGGAATGTCAGCTACCGGGAGTCTGCTTCATGTCCCTGTCTGCTCTTCTGCCCTACCTCCCAAATTTCCACCTTCTGCAACAGAGCCACCTACACCGGGAAACCTCCGTCAGCAGAAGATTCCGAGCATAACGGAATTGGCCTGAATCTCCTTTTCCCAGGCCAGGCCAGACTGATCTCCTCTCACGTGGTTGAGTCGTGGAGCCAAGGACACTGCTGGGCTGTGCTGAGGCTCTTGTGTGACAGTGGTGCCCTGAGCCCACTGCTTC